ACACTAATGAGGACTAACTAGACACAGGTGTACAACATCAAGACAAAACCAAACGAACATGAAACATAGATTGGTGGCAGCTAGTACTCCGGGGACGACGACCGCCGAAACCTGCCCGAACAAGGAGGAGGAGCAGCCTCGGCCGAAACCGTGACACCCACAATAACAATCTTGAATTGCTTGCAAGGTCGATAATTTATTATATATATTTTCAAAGAAGTGTGGATCATCATTATTTGGTCCGTAAAAGTTAATGAGCCATATTTGTTTATGGTCCAATAACATATTTAAAATAATCCATCTACCTTGCGTATCTGTTTGGACAATTTGCACATTCTGATCGAAATTACTGTTAATTAATATCATCACCCCTTTTGAGTTTCTTAGCCCATGGGAGAAGTATATTTCGCCACCCCCATTCCTTTTTCCACGCAACTTCATCTAGAATTGTTGAATTGGTTTCCTGTAAACAATAGATATTATATTCCTTCTCTTTGAGCCATGTAAATATTGTTATTCTTTTGTTATTATCTGCTAAGCCATTACAATTATAACTGGCTATACTTATTTCACCACATACCATAATGAGATACAAGTTTCAAATCTATTTGTCATTATATATGTTTGTACATTTACCAATAGAAAATACCATAGTGATTGAGTGTCCATATATCTATACCATGATATTTGCAATGTTACTAAATAACCCTCCAAATGTTCTCCACTAATTCCCCCGCTAAAACCCCTCCCCATCCCAAGTTGGGCCGTCATCCCAGTGATCAAAATACCACCACTGTCCCGTCGGATCCCTATGCCCTCGAGGGTCCAGGACCCATCCATCGAAAACATCACATAGTGCCACCCACAAAACAGAAGCAGGTCAACCGCCAAAAGCATTTCCAATGCTCTCACCTCAATGTATTTATATAGCTATTTAAAAAAGATCTATTCAAATATCTTGCATATCTTATTTTCCATCATTATCAATTAATGTGCGTAATAGTGTCGGCAGTTCATGCGTAGGATTTTAACCTATAACCCGAATTGCCATTTTATTACATTACATTTTTAACAAGCAACTACCACTTCAGCAAACAACCACTGCGATTCAACCCCCGCAACAGATGCGGGACACAAACTTGCACACACACACATACACACACGCACACACGCTCACACACTCAACCCCCCCCCCACAACCAGCCACAAGATCAGATACTCAATGGTTGATACATCCCAGAGCCCAACTCAAGAAAGGACCTGATTTACGAATGCATATGCAGTTACAGACGTTTGAAAAAGCATACAAGATTGAGCAAAAGTGAACAACAATGTGAGATTTGATTAATCTATTTAATCTATGTTAAGTCCTAGGTGATGGAGATCAGATCCACCCTCTTCACCTGAGACACAAACACTCTGGTCCCCCTGTTGTAACCATTTTCCCAAGCATCTCCGTGCAGTCATACCTTTGATTGTTTTGTGCCACTTGGGCCACACTAGTAAGCCCCCTCTCTGATTGTCCGAGTGTGACCGCCTCCCCATGGGTTACTGCAGCCAGTGTTGCCAGCACTGCCACTACCTTGGTGGGGGTACCCCACCGGAATCCCCACCGGCTAGGAACAAGGTCGTCAAGGTTCTCATTAGCAGCTTTGAGAATTTCCTTGTATATTATGCTCCCCCATCAAGGGCTCTGGCTTTGTAGGACCAACCCTGCCAGGTAGGCTCAGAATCTTGAGGGGGCGGTGCTGCTCAAGTAGGTCTCTGACCGCATTTATTTCTCTGTTTAGGCTGCATATAGGCAATTCACAGCAGGTCCATAAAACAGATGGGAACTTCTCTTTGGTGTATGGGTCGCTCAGGTAGGTGTACAGGATATAGTGTTGGGGATCGTTCAATCATGATAGGACAATAAAAAAATAGATTAGATATCTACACAAAATTGAAAGCTCTCTCTCACAACCCCTGCTCATAGACACCCGTTGGTTCTGGGATATGCAACCATTTCCCCTCTCACTCACTTAATGCCAGACTTTTCCAAACACAAAAACGCACACCACATGGCTGATTGCGGAGGATAGGGGTCGAGCGCGCAAGCGCAGGCGCGCGTGCCTGCATCCCACACCTGCCGCAAGGGGGAAAGGACGCCAGGGAGAACACAGGACCAACCACAACAACCATCCGCCAAAACAACAATTGCCTGCCAAAAATGCAATGTTATCTTTTCTTGTTATATCGTCTTATCCTTTTATAAAATACTATACATGTTCTTTAATATTACAATCCCTATCATGGCTAGTATTGGGTGTTCCATTATTCAAATCAAATCAAATCAAATCAAATTTTATTGGCCACATGCGTCGAATACAACAGGTACAGACATTACAGTGAAATGCTTACTTACAGCCCTTAACCAACAGTGCATTTATTTTTAAAATAAAACCACAACAAAAAAAGTGTTGAGAAAAAAAGAGCAGTAATAAAATAAAATAACAGTAGGGAGGCTATATATACAGGGGGGTACCGGTGCAGAGTCAATGTGCGGGGGCACCGGCTAGTTGAGGTAGTCGACTCCTCTATTAGAACTCTCAGAATAGCCATGGAGTAATCTTTGTGTCTCGGAACATTTGGTTGTCAATATACAGTTAATCGACAACGAGTACAACACGTTTCCCTTTTAATCTATTTTCCTTGAAGATTGGGTACAGAACTTTGCGCCTTTCTGCAATCTCCCTCGGAAACGGATAATTCATGCCTATTTTCGTGCCAGCAAGACTTTTACCTTTTAACCATTGCTTTATCCTTTAAAAAAAAACAAATTTGGCAACGATTGGATGCTCATATTTCTGTCCTCTTTGTCCGAAACGGTGTACACGTTCGAGTTGGATTTTATCGACAGCCTCAAGTGGGATTTGAAGCGCTGTAAGAAAGAAGTCCTTCACAATATTCCCAGTTACTTCTCCCTCTTTTTCCTGAATACCCGTAAGTACTAGATTTTCTCTCATCGATCTAGTTTGGATGTCTAGTAAGGCTTCTCTCAGAAGGTTGTTCTCCTTTTTAAGTTCCCTAACGTCCGTTTCCATCTTTGTGACTGTCACTTTTAATTTTTTGGTTTCTTTCTCCATTATCGCAGCTTTTTCGTCACTCATTTCAAGACTAGCTTTCAACTCCTTTATATCCTTACTGACCAACTCTAGTATGCCCAGTTTGTCATTTATCGACTTCAACAGGTCGCTTTCCACACTTACCAGACCCAGTGGTGAAAAGCATATATCATCTGTATCAGTCGACGAGTCACGTTTTCTCTTGGAGATTGGTTCTCCTCGTTTATCTTCCGACATGTTTGGGTGTTGCGTGTTGTTGTAATATTTGTCGATATATTTCTCTAGCCTTATGATTTGTTTTGGGTTTTTATCCAGATTGAATTTTATTAACTGCAAATATATGAAATGCTAATATTTAGTCTAACTTACTGATTTTGAATATTATGTTTTTATCTTGAGGTGATTTGTACCGCTGTCTATTCAATACGCCATCTTGTCTACGCGCGCGCAATACTACCTGGAAGACCCAGAGTTACCTCTGCTGCAGAGGATAAGTTCATTAGAGTTACCAGCCTCAGAAATTGCAGCCCAAATAAATGCTTCACAGAGTTCAAGTCACAGACACATCTCAACATCAACTGTTCAGAGGAGACTGTGTGAATCAGGCCTTCATGGTCGAATTGTTGCAAAGAAGCCACTACTAAAGGACACCAATAAGAATAAGAGACTTGCTTGGGCCAAGAAACACGAGCAATGGACAATAGACCTGTGGAAATGTGTCCTTTGGTCTGGAGTCCAAATTGGAGATTTTTGGTTCCAACCGCCGTGGCTTTATGAGACGCGGTGTGGGTGAACGGATGATCTCCGCATGTGTGGTTCCCACCGTAAAGCATGGAGGAGGAGGAGGCGTTATGGTGTGGGGTTGCTTTGCTGGTGACACTGTCTGTGATTTATTTAGAATTCAAGGCACACTTAACCAGCATGGCTACCACAACATTCTGCAGCGATACGCCATCCCATCTGGTTTGGGCTTAGTGGGAATATAATTTGTTTTTCAACAGGACAATGACCCAAAGCACACCTCCAGGCTGTGTAAGGGCTATTTGCCCAAGAAGGAGAGTGATGGAGTGCTTCATCAGATGACCTGGCCTCCACAATCCCCCGACCTCAAACCAAGTGAGATGGTTTGGGATGAGTTGGACCGCAGAGTGAAGGAAAAGCAGCCGACAAGTGCTCAGCATATGTGGGAACTCCTTCAATCCTGTTGGAAAAGCATTCCAGGTGATGCTGGTTGAGAGAATGCCAAAAGTGTGCAAAGCTGTCATCAAGGCAAAGGGTGGCTACTTTGAACAATCTCAAATATAAAATGTATTTTGATTTGTTTAACACTTTTTTGGTTACTACATGATTCCATATGTGTTATTTCATAGTTTCGATGTCTTCACTATTATTCTACAATTTAGAAAATAGTAAAAATAAAGAAAAAACCCTGGAATGAGTAGGTGTGTCCAAACTTTTGACTGGTACTGTATATATATTTTTAAAACAGTACAAATCTGAGGGGGCACGTGGAATGACAGCTTTGCACACACACACAAACAGGTCGATTCAAATGACTTGACTATAACTGTACAGAACACACACACATACATAAACACTTAAACAAACATTTATTAAAATAACATATGATATGATATGTATCATACGTGAGTTCATAGATTACAAAATCTTAGACTGTATTTTATGTTGTCTGTGATTGAATAATACACTTAAAATAAAAACAGCATTTATAGACATCTTGGACCCTGCATAATAACAAGAGTAAATTGAGTTCAAAAGGAATTTGACCCCACTCTGTAAACAAGCCTCTCTCTCTCTCTCTCTCTCTCTCTCTCTCTCTCTCTCTCTCTCTCCCTCTCTCTCTCTCTCTCTCTCTCTCTCTCTCTCTCTCTCTCTCTCTCTCTCTCTCTCTCTCTCTCGCCCTCTTTTAAGTAATCAGAGCTTGGATGTCAATCTCTCGCAGAACTCAAAGTCCTTGACTGCGAGGGCGGGGTCTCTGGCCAGGGGGGCGGGGAGAACCAGGGAACAGTCGCTGTCAAAGTACTTCCCTGTTATTCCCTCCGTCTCCTCTGCGACAGCACAGTAGATAGTGCTCACTGCCCCTTCCTCAGAAGACTGTGTGGACAGAGATGGGAGAAGAGGGTGAGGGCATAAACATTAACCACCTCTGCATAAAAGAAACAACAATGTGTAAGCACATTGAGTTCTAGTAAATATCTTTGTCTGTGCTTTGTTTCTTTGAGTCATGCCAGGAAGGGGAGTGTCCCTTTACTTGGAGCTCAGAACTTATACACAATTGCCATGTTCACTCATGGACATCTGCTAAAGAGATTTTGTGAAACTGATATAAATAAATAAACACACACACACGCACACACGCACACACACACACACACACACACACACACACACACACACACACACACACACACACACACACACACACACACACACACACACACACACACACACACACACACACACACACACACACACACACACACACACACACACACACACACACACACACACACACACACACACATACACACTGTTTTCATTAGCAAATGTGGTATCGGTTATAGTTGGCCGGCTCTTTCAATCTGACTGGTTTTCAGACCTATCAATCATTCATTCCAACCTATCAGGGCGATTGGACAAACTCCAGGGCTTCTCGCCCTTATGTTAGAGCATGTTTTGCCGTCTTGAGAAAGAAGCAAGTGTTATATGCTGACGGACCTTTCACATGCTGTTTCCTTACTAAAGTATTGTGCGTCCATGGGAATAACCACACCCATATAAAACATATTCAAATGGAAGTAGCCGCGTGTGTGTGTGTGTTGGTGGTGGTGGCAAAACGTACAGTTACCAGCCTCAACATCATGTTCTAACCGGACAGCACTATAGTGGACAGGACCAAAACCAATCAGCATTAAGTACATAGCAGGTGAGGGCATATCCAGCCAACCCCAGAGACGAGCTCCAGCTAGCCGTTTTTACAGGCTTATTGAGTGAACTTGTTTGTTAACTCATTATATGCTGTAGTGTGCCACTGTTCGGTTGGGTCCCCACCGAAGCAAACCATCATCTTTAGGATCATGACAAATGATCAGAGACTCCTCTCTGTTCCAAAGACCTGCCTCAAAACGATGGACCAAGCATTCTACTCCTTTGGTCCCCAGCTGTGGAACAAGCTTCCCCTCCATCTCTGCATGGCCCAGACCAGCACTGCCTTTAAGTCTGGGCTAAAGACACATTTTTACCACCTGGCTTTTGTTTAAATGTGGCCATATGTTGTGGTGCCCTTGGTTGACTCAGTTCATTATGAACTAGTTATTTATTTAGCAGTTACAGTTTAAAATGGTTATTGTGTGAGGGATAAACAACGAGGGGCTATGAGTACTATGGAAATAATGCAAAACGCAGAAGGTGTGCCACGACGTGCAGCGGAGTGGCAGTAACCTTCTGCGGGGTTGCATGATTTTGCTAACATTCAAACACTACTAGCGCTCACATTTGCCCGTAGAAATTTGTGTTGAAATCTTTCAATTAAGGGCTTTAATTCAATGCGTATTGCGGAAATTCAGTGTTACAGCGTGATTGAAATTTAAAGGCAATGTTCCCGAATCCCGCGTTAGTGGAGACTACATTCACGGTAAACGCTGCATATGTCGGCTCAATAGGAAATTACCTTTACATTTCTACTGCACAATCTGTAACGCTTCAGTGATACAGATTGAATACAGCCCTTAGAACCAGAAAGTTAGCCTGGTCCCAGATCTGTTTGTGGTGTCTTATTATAACCATAGGAGCTGGCAAGACAACACAAACAGATCTGGGAAGAGGGTCACCAGAAATGTTCCACTGTTAACTTCTTACATGAAACTGGACTGTAAAATAGTGTTAAAAGCATTTTTTTCTTCAAATTTTCACCAGAGTGTTACGATTCAAAGTATTCACCTTGAAGAAAAAGATTCCAATCAGGTTGAAGAGGAACCGAACCAGGAAGTTATAGTGTCTCATCACTTCTGTCATCACCACCCCAGGGTGGAGGGAGTTGGCTGTCACCCCTGTGAGACACACACACACACACACACACACACACACACACACACATACACACACACATACACACAAACACACACAGACACACACAGACAGACACAGACACAGACACAGACACAGACACAGACACAGACACACAGACTCAGACACAGACACACACTATAACACATTATAAACCACACTAAAGCCCATAAAGCCCTTACCCCTATCCCTCCATTAACCTGCGTTGCTATCCCTGAGTCTGATTTCATGGGAAGTTTGACTCACACAGGGAAACTCCATCTCCATCTCCAGCTGCACAGAAGATGTTTGGTGCCTAACTTTTCATTATATCACCACGTTCCCCTTTAGACCCCTCAGGAATGATGCTCATTGTAAAATGTTACTTATGCACGTACACAGTTGTTTTAGGAGCAGTGAAAGAGCTTATGGCTATACTATGTGTTCTAAACAAGGACTGTATCACTTTTCCAAACATTACCAATACACACTCCGGTCATATAGCCAAAACAGTTTCAGATGTGCTATGAATGGGATTCAACTGTGGGGTAAGGGGCCAGGCTAGAGCAATTGTCTACAAGCTAAATGGAACCAGGGCCCTTATTCCAAAACCATCTCAGAGTAGGCTTGTTGGTCTAGGATCAGGTACTCTCTGTCCATGTAATCTTATTCATTATCATCCAATGCCAAAACTGATCCTAGATCAGCACTCCTACTCTGAGACGCTTTATGAATACTTGCTGAGGTATTCTTACCCACCTGTGCCTTGTAGCCTTTGTGCCAGCTCGTTAGTGCAGATGACATTGTGCAGCTTGGTGTGGTTGTACACGCTGTCCATGGTGTAGGCCAGGTTCTCGCCCTTGAAGTGCGAAAAGTCGACCACGCCTCTCCAGTGGTTCACGGATGACACGTTGACGATGCGCGCCGGCGCCGATCGTTTTAGCAGGTCTGGACAAAGGGAGGGAGAGAGGGGAGGGACAGGGGGAAGAGGATGGAGGGAGAGATAGAGAGGGGGTGGGGATGGAGGAGGAGGGACGGAGGAAGGGATGGGAGGTGGGGAGGAAGGGATGGGAGGTGGGGAGGGAGCGAGGGAAAAAGAAGAGCAGAGGAGAGAGGTTGGAGGGGAAGTAAATACAGTAATACAATGTAAGGTGTGGAATGTAACATGAGAAAACATTCCTTCCTGGGCAATGACACTTTAGCTAGCTAACTAGCTACTTGCTATTAGCCGCCGTTAGCGGTCTTCACCATTGTCCGGGGCCTGCACTACCTACCAGCCAGCTCTAGCCTGGACAATTATCGGCCAGTCTGCACAGTCTGCACAGCACGCTATTGACCCAGAGCATATCCGATCTTCTGCCTGAATCACTGAATCACTGGAATTTAACACCGGATCATCACAACTAGCTAGCTGCAACCGAATGGCTGTTGTTGTTTTTGGCTAATCACCACTGTCCCGAAGCAAGCACCAGTTAGCCTTGAGCTAGTCTCGAGCCAGGCCCATCTCCCGGCTATCTACCACTCTGTCAACCGGACAAGACCTCCTAGTGTTGACACGGAGCCCCGCCGATCCATCACGACTGGTCTGCCGACGTAATCAACAGGCTTCCCGTTGCGACGACCACGAAGATCCATCTGCTAGCCCCGGCCCGCTAGCACACGCAATCAACTGCCGTGCCTCCTTCTCGCCTATGCCGTAGCAGCCACCAAACTGCTCCCGGACTCACCTATTGCTGTTCACTGGACTTTATGATCATTAAGCTACACAGCTGATGCCTGCTGGACTGATGCCTGCTGGACTGGCCTACCCCATTCTGTTTATTTGTTTAGCCTCAACCCAAACTTTCGTCGCCATTACCAGCTGTTGTTTTAGCTCTCTCGAATAACACCTGTGATTGCTTTATGCCTCTCTCCCATGTCAACATGCCTTGCCTATTGCTGTTTCGGTTAGTTCTTATTGTACTATTTCACTGTAGAGCCCCCAGTCCCGCTCAACCTGCCTCAGAAAGCTCCTTTGTCCCACCCCCCATACACGCGGAGACCGGCTCAATCGGTACCACCAGTGATGCTATCTCTTTCATTGTTATCCAATGCTTAGGTTTACCTCCACTGTACTCATATCCTTCCATATCCTTGTCTGTACATAATGTCCTGAATCTATTCTACAACGCCCGGAAATCTGCCCCTTTTATTCTCTGTACCCAACACACTAGAAGACCAGTTCTTAAAGCCTTTAGCCGTATCCTTATTCTATTCCTCCTCTGTTCCTCTGGTGATGTAGAGGTTAACCCAGGCCCTGTAGCCCCCAGTATCACTCCTACTCCCCAGGCGCTATCATTTGTTGACTTCTGTAAACGTAAAAGCCTTGGTTTCTTGCATGTTAACATCAGAAGCCTCCTCCCTAAGTTTGAGTTATTCACTGCGTTAGCACACTCCGCCAACCCTGTTGTTCTAGCAGTGTCTGAATCCTGGCTTAGGAAGGCCACCAAAAATGCAGAAATGTCCATCCCAACTACAACATTTTCCGTTTAGATAGAACTGCCAAAGGGCGCAGAGTTGCAATCTACTGTAGAGATAGCCTGCAGAGCTCTATTATACTATCCAGGTCTGTGCCCAAAAGGTTTGAGCTTCTACTTCTAAAAATCCACCTTTCCAGAAATAAGTCTCTCACTGTTGCCGCTTGCTACAGGCCCCCCTTAGCCTCCAGCTGTGCCCTGGACACCATATGTGAATTGATTGCCCCCCATCCATCCTCAGAGTTCGTACTGCTTGGTGACCTAAACTGGGATATGCTTAACACCCCGGCCATCCTACAATCTAAACTAGATGCCCTCAATCTCACACAAATGATCAAGGAACCTACCAGGTACAACCCTAAATCCGTAAACATGGGCACCCTCATAGATATCATCCTGACTAATTTATCCTCTAAATACACCTCCGCTGTCTTCAACCAGGATCTCAGCGATCACTGCCTCGTTGCCTGCGTCCGTAATGGGTCCGCGGTCAAACGACCACCCCTCATCACTGTCAAACGCTCCCTAAAATACTTTAGCGAGCAGGCCTTTCTTATTGACCTGGCCTGGGTATCCTGGATGGATATTGACCTCATTCCGTCAGTAGAGGATTCCTGGTTGTTCTTTAAAAGTGCTATCCTTTCCATCTTAAATAAGCCTGCCCCATTCAAAAAATTCTGAACTAAGAACAGATATAGTCCCTGGTTCACTCCAGACTTGACTGCCCTTGACCAGCACAAAAACATCCTGTGCCGTACTGCATTAGCATCAAATAGCCCCCGCGATATGCAACTTTTCAGGGAAAATAGGAACCAATATACACAAGCAGTCAGGAAAGCAAAGGCTAACTTTTTAAACAGAAAGTTGCATCCTGTAGCACTAACTCCAAAAAGTTTTGGGACACTGTAAAGTCCATGGAGAATAAGAGCACTTCTTCCCAGCTGCCCACTGCACTGAGGCTAGGAAACACTATCACCACCGATAAATCTACAATAATCGAGAATTTCAACAAGCATTTTGCTACGGCTGGCCATGCTTTCCACCTGGCTACCACTACCCCGGTCACCAACTCTGCACCCTCCGCTGCAACTTGCCCATGCCCCCCCCGCTTCTCCTTCACACAAATTCAGACAGCTGATGTTCTGAAAGAGCTGCAAAATCTGGACCCCTACAAATCAGCTGGGCTAGACAATCTGGACCCTTTCTTTCTAAAACTAGCCGCCGAAATTGTCGCAACCCCTATTACTAGCCTGTTCAACCTCTCTTTCGTAACGTCTGAGATCCCCAGAGATTGGAAAGCTGCCGCGGTCATCCCCCTCTTCAAAGGGGGTGACACTCTAGATTCAAACTGTTACAGACCTATATCCATCCTGCCCTGCCTTTCGAAAGTATTTGAAAGCCAAGTTAACAAACAGATCACCGACCATTTCGAATCCCACCGTACCTTCTCCGCTATGCAATCCGGTTTCCGAGCTGGTCATGGGTGCACTTCAGCCACGCTCAAGGTCCTAAACAATATTATAGCCGCGATCGATAATAGACAGTACTGTGCAGCCATCTTCATCGACCTGGCCAAGGCTTTTGACTCTGTCAACCACCACATTCTTAAATAGCCTTGGTTTCTCAAATGACTGCCTCGCCTGGTTCACCAACTACTTCTCAGATAGAGTTCAATGTGTCAAATCGGAGGGCCTGTTGTCTGGACCTATGGCAGTCTCTATGGGGCTGCCACAGGGTTCAATTCTTGGGCCGACTCTTTTCTCCATGTATATCAATGACGTCGCTCTTGCTGCTGGTGACTCTCAGATCCACCTCTACGCAGACGACACCATTTTGTATACATCTGGCCCTTCATTGGACACTGTGTTAACAAACCTCCAAACGAGCTTCAATGCCATACAACACTCCTTCAGTAGCCTCCAACTGCTCTTAAACACTAGTAAAACTAAATGCATGCTCTTCAATCGAACGCTGCTGGCACCCGCCCACCCGACTAGAATCACCACTCTCGACGGGTCTGACCTAGAGTATGTGGACAACTACAAATACCTAGGTGTCTGGTTAGACTGTAAACTCTCCTTCCAGACTCACATTAAGAATCTCCAATCCAAAGTTAAATCTAGAATCGGCTTCCTATTTCGCAACAAAGCCTCCTTCACTCATGCTGCCAAACACGCCCTCGTAAAACTGACTATCCTACCGATCCTTGACTTTGGCGATGTCATTTACAAAATAGCCTCCAACACTCTACTCAGCAAATTGGATGTAGTCTATCACAGTGCCATCCGTTTTGTCTCCAAAGCCCCATACACTACCCACCACTGTGACCTGTACGCTCTCGTTGGCTGGTCCTCAATACATGTTCGTCGTCAAACCCACTGGCTCCAGGCCATCTATAAATCACTGCTAGGCAAATCCCCGCCTTATCTTAGCTCATTGGTCACCATAGCAGCACCCACCCGTAGTCTGCGCTCCAGCAGGTATATCTCACTGGTCATTCCCAAAGCCAACACCTCCTTTGGCCGCCATTCCTTCCAGTTCTCTGCTGCCAATGACTGGAACGAATTGCAAAAATCTCTGAAGCTGGAGACTCTTATCTCCCTCACTAACTTTAAGCATCAGTTGTCAGAGCACCTTACCGATCACTGCACATGTACACAGCCCATCTGAAATTAGCCCACCCAACTACCTCATCCCTATATTGTTATTTATTTTGCTCTTTTGCACCCCAGTATCTCTATTTGCACATAATCTCTTGCACATCTAGCATTCCAATTTTTAATACTAATTGTAATTATTTTGCACTATAGCCTATTTATTGCCTTACCTCCATAACTTGCTACATTTGCACACACTGTATATATATTTTCTGTTGTATTTTTTGACTTTATGTTTTTTTTACCCCATATGTAACTCTGTGTTGTTGTTTTTATCGCACTGCTTTGCTTTATCTTGGCCAGGTCGCAGTTGTAAATGAGAACTTGTTCTCAACTGGCTTACCTGGTTAAATAAAGGTGAAATAAAATAAAATAAAATAAAAAGAGAATTTGGCAGTACGTCCAACTGGCCTTACAACCACAGACCACGTGTAACCACGCCAGCCCAGGACCTCCACATCCGGCTTCTTCACCAGCGGGATCGTCTGAGACCAGCCACCAGCACAGCTGATGAAACTAAGTAGTATTTCTGTCTGTAATAAAGCCTTTTTGTGGGGAAAAACTCATTCTGATTGGCTTCAGCCTGGCTCCCAAGTGGGCCTGTCTCCCAGTCATGTGAAATCTATAGATTAGGGCCTAATTTATTTATTTCAATTTACTGATTTCCTTATATGAACTGTAACTCAGTAAAATCGTTGAAATTGTTGCATGTTGCGTTTATATTTCTGTTCAGTATATAAAGAATGTTTTTGAAGTGTAAGGATTGCCTTTTGTTCAAGCTGGGCTGAAACACCTCTTTCAATTGGGATATGTGGTGTCTTACCCAGAATATATGTGTTGTCTTATTTCAATTGGGATATGTGGTGTCTTAGCCAGAATATATGTGTTGTCTTATCCAGAAGATATGTGTTGTCTTACCCAGAAGATATGTGTTGTCTTACCCAGAAGATACGTGTTGACTTACCCAGAAGGTATGCGTTGTCTTACCCAAAAGATATGTGTTGTCTTACCCAGAAGATATGTGGTGTCTTACCCAGAAGATATGTGGTGTCTTACCCAGAAGATATGTGGTGTCTTACCCATAAGATATGTGTTGTCTTACCCAGAAGCAGGTTGGTGAGGAGGAAAGGACCCACATGATTGGTAGCGAAGGACACCTCTAGCCCATCTGAGGTGATATCTCCAGGCAGGCCTGTGTACAGACACAATATAACCAAACCATTTGATAATGCACACACACACACACACATATACAGAGACACACACCACACATGATGTGCATGTCGCAAACAGTAGCCCAAACAGACAGTGTCAAGGACAAACATTCACAACAGCAATAGGTTTAATACTTATAGCAATACTTATAGCAATAGGTTTAATACTTTACCCCAGGATACCCATTATAGACAGTAACTATAGAAACAAGGTAGCTTTATTCATTTCAGGAGAATTTTGCGAAACAAGGTTGCTATATTCACGTCAGGGTAATTCAGCGAAAGGTGTCAGCCTACTTGCAACGCACCTCCTTGTTATTGCGTTTCCATTTTTGTGTGTTGCACGTGCATTCAGTAGGCATAAATGTATGAAAGCGTGTATCATTATTTTAAATGCATGTAGTTCTGTCCTTGGGATGTACTTGTCTATTCATGTTCTGTATTATATCATGTTTCATGTTTTGTGTGGACCCCAGGAAGAGTAGCTGCTGCTTTAGCAGTAACTAATGGGGATACTAATAAAATACTAAATACTGAATAGGTAATGAATAGGAATTTGTTTAAGTAAGGAATTGACAAGTGAACAAGACAACATGATGATTGCTATCAGCTGGACAATTATTTTGGAATGCTTCCCAGCCAATAGGCTATAAAGGCCTGAGTGGGTGGAAAGAATTTAAATGGCCTATATGTGAAAAAAGACTGGGAGAGATCAAATGTCAAACAGCCTAAGATGCTTAAATTGTAAGCACACAGTACTTTTATTTCCATTGCTCTCTCTCTCTCCCTTCCTTCTTATTTTTTATTATTATTATGTTTTTTAAAACTTTTGCCGAATTTAGGCATAAGGTGGAAATTGATATATGTGTTATCAATGTGGGAAACATGAAATCATCACGTGTCAATTATCCTTTTATTTGTATTCTCCCATAGAAAGTTCAATTTATAATGTTAATAAATTGGTTCAATGAATGTTGAAGAAGAAACATGGGCAATTGCGGAGTTTATAAAATAGAGAGACGAACAAGTAGGCTATTTGCTCACAATTATGCACCTTTCAATAATTATTTCCAGCTCTTTGTTGGAAAATTATATCGAAATTAGTTCATTAACTGAATCCCAAGGTGGGAATGTACAAGAAATGTAGCTGAACATGTAGCCGTTAAACTCTGAAAAATCAAGTGAATAAATTGCACTGTCTTTGGCTCTACCCAGAGCAGACTGATGTTGCATTGATGTTAATACAGTTACTATACTACCCTGCTCTTAGTAATCCGCCCGCTCTGTCCACCGTTGGGTCAAGAGGAGTGCGCACCACATGTGGTTGCGTGCAGTTCGATAGAACTGTAAGCTACTCCAGTGGTTATAGACCTACATCTGTTTACATTCATTTCATTGGAGAATTATATGGAGAGTTAAATTAATTTATCTTTTTAATATACTATGATGATGCCTAATGCCTAAATAATCAAATTCATTTTATTGATGTTGTTTTTCTCTTGTTATTTACCCTGAGTGGGATGACCTATTCCATTATTTTGGCTGGAGGTGTCATCAAAAAAATGCACCCCCCTCCCCAACGTTAAAAATATTTTCACATGACCATACCCTTGTACTGTAAAAAAATGTGCACACCCTCCCCCCTCATAAAATGTAAAAAAAAAAAGAATGATTACAACCACAAATGTCCACAAATCAAAAAAAGAATGATTACAACCACAAATGTCCACAAATCATATTCAAGAATTGACTTTTTTATTGTAAACTTTTCTTTTGACTGTGTTTCTGAATGTAAATACCGTCCTAGAATAATTACTGACCATAGCCCATTGTCCTTCACGCTAAAGCTCAAACTGTGGCGAATTATTATTAATTAACTGTAGAGTTTAATGGACTATGAGGTAGAACTGGGTTAATCAAGAGCATAAAGTTAGAATTCTTTGTTACTGGGCCAGGAATTGTATTGGGTCGTTTAATTTCACTGTGTGGGTGAGTAGAGAGGGAATCTGCCCTAGGGTCATGTTAGAAATTGCGTAATTCAAATCTGGTATTGGAATAAGAGAAAACATAATCAAGAGATATTCAATCCAAGCTAAATGTATTATATGCAAAATATAAGTATGATAAGTATGATGGTTCGTATACGGGCTCACTGAGATACCACGCAGGGCAGACAGAGAACTGATCCATTGTTCTAAGTTCTTCTTCAAATACTCTGACAGAGATAGTTCCCGCTCCCTGCTGGCCAATCAGAGTAGAGACTGAGCGTGGTTCAGACTTACTCAGCCTATCCGTTGGCGCACAGGCTGGTCCCAGCCCCTTGGCGCTCCACTGTTGCCATGTGTCTAGTTGTTTTGCAACTTATCCAGAAAGTCAGATTGCTTGCTCTTACTTAAATCCATGGCTGTCTTATCTGATGAGAGACTGAAACTAGCTTGTGGCCTTTTGTCTCTCTCTTCAAACACAGTGAAGGGAGCGGCACCAGGGTTGAATAGAGTTTGGGCTAGACCTTTGTCTCCTTGGTATCTTCTTGATTGATTACAGCATGAGGGGGTGAGGTTTGTGTAATATAGGGCCTTGTCATGTTTAAACTAAACATGAGTGTGTGTAAGTGGTGTTACATAGATGCTGTGTTCACGATGCATGTTTAATACATAATTCATGGTTTATTTGATGTAGTAAATAAATAAATGATTCATTGATGTATAGGTAAGAATTTAAATGTGATGTAACAGGTAAAATTAACGTTAGGCCATTGTTTGTGTTTTTATGTTCCATCCCGGAACATAAAAATGTTACTGCTACGGAATTAGTTAATTGACTGTGTGCAATCTAACTTAAGCAGATCTTAATCTGAGTTATAATTGTTGATGGCAGAGGCCAAGAAAGACAGTAAAAGGACTTTCAAGGGACTTTAAGGATTTAAGAACCTCTTTTCAGGACAAGCAGCCAACGAGGTATTTTGTTCAACCTGTAGAACTTTGTTTATATTCGCGCCAAGTGCCTTTTGTATTGTCGCGCCAAGCACCATTTGTATTGTCGCGCCGAGCGCCATTTGTATTATTTTGTTTCAGTACTGTATAATTTATCAACGTTACTGTGTTCATTCAAATATATAGTTCTCACGGCGTGACGTGGATGCATCGAAGAAAAAGACATGCAAGGCAATAAACGCCCGTTTCAAGGAACCAACCTGTGTCTGTTGTCGTGAAGAGAGCTACAGTGTGTGTGCAAGACAGGGGAGCGAGTGATTGGTTGGAGTAATAGTTCAGCCGTCCTCAGGGACAAAGGAAGTGGGTGTGGAGTGATAAAGAGCGGGAAACTGAAGAGGGAGGGATTTAGAGCTAGAAGAGTTGGGGATGATGGTATATAATGGGACGTGAGGAAAACAGAACGGTGTGCCATTCTGCAGACTGGTATCGGCTTTGTTGAAATTTTAATAAAGTAATTTATTGATGCAACAAAAACTCTGTAAGACCTTATTTGTAATAAAGTATAGTGGTTATTATCCAAAACATAATCTCCTATGCCAATAGCAAAGACATGGTGATTCAACACAATGTTACAACACATGTTTTTGGAAATAAATGTAGATATTGAAGTATGCCCAATTTAAAGCATATATGAAAGGTTGGATCATGTCTTACTCTTCACATAAGAAAAATACCCATAAAGAATTAGAAATACTAGAACAGAAAATCCAAGATTTAGAAAGAAAAGTTCAGATAGAAATGCTAACACCCTTCAACAGTGAAAAACTTTGAAGCTTGAATATACAGTGAGGGAAACAAGTATTTGATCCCCTGCTGATTTTGTACGTTTGCCCACTGACAAAGACATGATCAGTCTATAATTTTAATGGTAGGTTTATTTGAACAGTGAGAGACAGAATAACAACAACAAAATCCAGAAAAACGCATGTCAAAAATGTTATAAATTGATTTGCATTTTAATGAGAGAAATAAGTATTTGACCCCTCTGCAAAACATGACTTAGTACTTGGTGGAAAACCCTTGTTGGCAATCATAGAGGTCAGACGTTTCTTGTAGTTGGCCACCAGGTTTGCACACATCTCAGGAGGGATTTTGTCCCACTCCTCTTTGCAGATCTTCTCCAAGTCATTAAGGTTTCGAGGCTGACGTTTGGCAACTCAAACCTTCAGCTCCCTCCACAGATTTTCTATGGGATTAAGGTCTGGAGACTGGCTAGGCCACTACAGGACCTTAATGTGCTTCTTCTTGAGCCACTCCTTTGTTGCCTTGGCCGTGTGTTTTGGGTCATTGTCATGCTGGAATACCCATCCACGACCCATTTTCAATGCCCTGGCTGAGGGAAGGAGGTTCTCACCCAAGATTTGACGGTATATGGCCTCGTCCATCGTCCCTTTGATGCGGTGAAGTTGTCCTGTCCCCTTAGCAGAAAAACACCCCCAAAGCATAATGTTTCCACCTCCATGTTTGACGGTGGGGATGGTGTTCTTTGGGGTCATAGGCAGCATTCCTCCTCCTCCAAACACGGCGAGTTGAGTTGATGCCAAAGAGCTCGATTTTGGTCTCATCTGACCACAACACTTTCACCCAGTTCTCCTCTGAATCATTCAGATGTTCATTGGCAAACTTCAGACGGGCCTGTATATGTGCTTTCTTGAGCAGGGGGACCTTGCGGGCGCTGCAGGATTTCAGTCCTTCGTGGCGTAGTGTTTTACCAATTGTTTTCTTGGTGACTATGGTCCCAGCTGCCTTGAGATCATTGACAAGATCCTCCCATGTAGTTCTGGGCTGATTCCTCACCGTTCTCATGATCATTGCAACTCCACGAGGTGAGATATTGCATGGAGCCCCAGGCAGAGGGAGATTGACAGTTCTTTTATGTTTCTTCCATTTGCAAATAATCGCACCAACTGTTGTCACCTTCTCACCAAGCTGCTTGGCGATGGTCTTGTAGCCTTGTGTAGGTCTACAATCTTGTCCCTGACATCCTTGGAGAGCTCTTTGGTCTTGGCCATGGCGGAGAGTTTGGAATCTGATTGAGTGATTGCTTCTGTGGACAGGTGTCTTTTATACAGGTAACAAGCTGAGATTAGGAGCACTCCCTTTAAGAGTGTGCGCCTAATCTCAGCTCGTTACCTGTATAAACGACACCTGGGAGCTAGAAATCTTTCTGATTGAGAGGGGGTAAAATACTTATTTCCTTCATTAAAATGCAAATCAATTTATTACATTTTTGCAGGGGATCAAATCAGCAGGGGATCAAATACTTTTTTCCCTCACTGTAACACAATAAACACCCGATCTGCATAGATTGCTGCCATGAAATCCAAGCAACAATATGTTGAGCAAGGTGAAAGTGCACGGGAAAGACTTGCTTGGCAAATTAAGAAAGAGGAAGAGGTGTCACACCCTGATCTGTTTCACCTTTCTTTGTGATTGTCTCCACCCCCCTCCAGGTATCGCCCATCTTCCCCATTATCCCCAGTGTATTTATACCTGTGTTGTCTGTTTGTCTGTTGACAGTTTGTTTTGTTTCGTCAAGCCTACCAGCGGTTTTCCCCTTGCTCCTGTCTATCTCAAGTTCCTGTTTTCTAGTTTTCCCAGTTTTGACCATTCTGCCTGCCCTGAGCCTGCTTGCCGTTCTGTACCTTGTCACACCACCCTGGATTATTGACCTCTGCCTGCCCTGACCCTGAGACTGCTTGCCGTTCTTTACCTTTTGGACTCTGATCTGGATTACTGACCTCTTCCTGCCCTTGACATGTTGTTTGCCTGCACCCTGTTTTTGTAATAAACTTTTGTTACTTCGACACGGTCTACATCTGGGTCTTCTCCTGAAACGTGATAGTACGAACTGGCCATGACTGACCCAGCAGACTCGGACCAGCTCCGCAATGCCATCTCCTCCCAAGGAGCCACCATTGGAAGGCACGAGGAGTTGCTTCGTGGTCTCATGGAAGGGTTCCAGACCTTGGCCAAATGCCATGACTGAGCGTTTAACCCATTGCTGGAGCAATTCCGCGGGTTGTCTGCTAGGCAGCCTACCACGACGGTAACCTCCCATCCCCTCAGTAACCCGGCTGTTAGCAGCGCTGCCTCCCTGGCCACACTGGTTTCCCGAGAACCCCGCTTACCTCCCCCGGAACGCTTCACTGGTGAGTTGGGAACCTGTCTAGCATTTCTCGCTCAGTGTTCGCTCATCATCGAGCTGCAGCCCTCCTCCCTCCCCTCAGACCGCTCTAAGATAGCATACCTCATCACGCTGATGTCCGGGAGGGCTCTCGCCTGGGCTACGGCAGTGTGGGAACAACAGTCGGCCTTATGCTTCTGGAGGAGTTCCTGCAGGAGGTAAAAAAGGTTTTCGATGCTCCATTGTCTGGGAGAGAGGCTGCCCGGAAGTTACTCCAGCTTCGGCAAGAGTCCCGCCAGTTCATGGTGGAGGCCGATGCTTTGGATGTCGGAGTGGGGGCGGTCCTGTCCCAGCGTTCGGCCCTGGACCTCAAGTTACATCCCTGCGCCTTCTTCTCCCATAGCCTCAACACCACGGAGAGGAGTTATGATGTGCGGAGTCGTGAGCTTCTCGCGGTGAAGATGGCGAGGAGTGGAGGCACTGGCTGGAGGGGGCGGAACATCCGTTCATTGTGTGGACAGACCACAAGAACTTGGAATATCTCCGCACCGCCAAGCATCTCAATTCCAGGCAAGCTAGGTGGGCCCTGCTTTTCACCCGGTTCAACTTCCTGACAGTTGTGGACCGGTTTTCCAAAGCCACCCACTTCATTCCTCTCCCCAAGCTACCCTCCGCCAAAGAGACGGCCCAGCTCATGGTGCAGCACGTCTTCCGGATCCATGGACTCCCAGTGGACATGGTCTCCGACCGGGGTCCTCAGTTCTCGTCCCGGTTCTGGAAGGCATTCTGCACACTCATTGGGTCATCGGCCAGCCTGTCCTCCGGTTTCCACCCTCAGTCCAACGGCCAGTCGGAGCGAGCCAACCAAGACCTGGAGACGACTCTGCGCTGCCTGGTCTCCGCCAAACCCCATCAGCCCCCGCTCTTCCCGGAGCAAGAGGAAGAGGTCGGCATACACTCGGCCCAGATGTTTGTCCGCCGCTGTCGTCGTACCTGGAGGAGAGCCCGGTCGGCTCTTCACAAAACCACCTCCAGGTATCGATGACAAGCGGACCGCCACCGGACCCCTGCTCCCCGGTATCGTCTCGGGCAGAAGGTATGGCTGTCCACCCGAGATCTGCCCCACCTGGTGGAGTCCCGCAAACTTTCCCCCCGGTTTATCGGCCCTTTCCCCATCTCCAAGATCATTAGCCACTCTGCTGTTCGTCTTCTGTTGCCCTGTATCCTCCGTATACATCCCACTTCTCATGTGTCTAGGATCAAACCCATGTCTCACAGCCCTTTGTCTCCTGTTTCCAGGTCCACCCCTCTCCCCCGTCTCATCAACGGCCAACCGGCGTACATGGTGAGGCGTCTCCTGAAGGTTCAACCTTGGGGCAGGGGATTCCAGTACCTGGTTGACTGGGAGGGTTATGGCCCGGAGGAGAGGCGCTGGGTCCCCGCTAGGGACATCCTGGACCCAGGCCTCATCGCTGAGTCACTATGTTTGGCCACAATTAACCTACTTAAAAAGAAAGATAAGGATCCATTGTGATGCGGATCCTTCCGCCCAGTATCACTTTTGAATGTGGATGACAAAGTCATAACTAAGGTATTGGCTTTTCGCATAGAAACAAAAGTTGATTCATTTAGATCGAACAGAGTTTATACAGAACAGGATGTCTTCAGACAATCTCCAACGTTTTTCTCAATATAATCCATCATACAAAGAACTTGAACATTCCAAAAGTGTCAGCATCAATAGATGCTGAAAAAGCATTCGATAGGGTGGAATGGGCATGGTTTGGTGGCTGCCTAAAACAAGTTTGGTTTTGGTCCGGTATTTCCTGGATTGAGCTATTGTACAAATCCCCCAAAGCATCTATATGAACAAATGGACAGATCTTTGAATCATTTCAGTTATCAAGAGGGACAAGACAGGGATGTCCTTTGTCTAGTTATTTATTTTCTTTAGCCACAGAATCCCTAGCATCAATAATAAGAACTCATGGCTCAATCCGGGGCAGAGAGATTGGTGGAGATCAACATATATCATTGTATGCAGATGACATTTTACTTTATCTTAACCAGGACATTCTCTGTCATTTGTTTTACTACTGTTGAATACATATGGTGCTGTATCAGGATTTAAAGTGAATTAGAAGAAACCTGAAATAAAGCCCATTTCTAATTATGATTTCTCAAGCTTAGAAAGTTAAATTAAGTGGAAATGGACAAAGACACATGAAATACCGGGGTGTACTGATACCATACAATCTGGAGGAAGCGTATACACTACCAGTCAAAAGTTTGGACACACCTACTCATTCAAGGGTTTTTCTTTATTTTTACTATTTTTTACATTGTAGAATAATAGTGAAGACATCAAAACTATGAAATAACACATATGGAATCATGTAGTAACCAATAAAGTGTTAAACAAATCAAATAGCCACCCTTTGCCTTGATGACAGCTTTTGAACCATTGGTCCCAGAAAATGTTAATACCTGCTCCTGCAACCTAAGACATAAACTACTGCAATTTAAGATCATTCATAGGAGTTACTACACTCCTGTCAGAATGCATGTAATGCACCCAGAAATGTCACATCTCTGTTCGAGATGCAAAAAGCATAAAGGAACCCTATTACATATGCTGTGGTCCTGTGACAAACTGACACCATCTTGGGATAATGTCTGTGCTATCATTTCATTGTGTCTAGGAATTTATATCCATCCATCTACACGATTATGTCTGTTGGGAAATGTAAATATTGATGATCAATTGGAAAGCCTCATACTCACCCTAAATAACAAACTGGAGGAATGAACTATCTAGCAACATACCGTTGGATTTTGTATATTATAAAATTATTTCAAGAACCGGAAGTGTTTGACCAAATTTGGAAATCATATGTTGATCACCTTGGGGAATGTGTTTTGTTTTTGTTTTTGTGTTGTTTGTGCGGTGCTGTGAAAAAACAAGAAAAAACAAATTGTCCCAAAAAATATATAGGAATTTGTGAGCCAAATATTGTAATTGGGTGGCATGGCTAGGATTAAATTCACAGAAATAGAATGAATAGAACGGGTGTCCCCATTCAAGTCAATGATACGCCCATTCTATTCATTCTATTTCTATGCATTTAATCATATCCAATTGCCGAAATCCGACCAGATAACTTTTGAAAAACTGGGCCCTGATGACTTACATTAACTCCCCTCATGCCCAGGCTTCAGCACTATGAGCTACCACAGCCTGATGGCGACTAGAAGCCCCGGGTCACACTAGTATTACGGCTGTTGACGTCCACCCCTGGTTGACTGTCTCATAGCCTGGAATCCACATAGCCTGGAATCCTCCCTGAATATCGCTCCGTTTCATTATTGTTCCGCTTCAGGTGAATAGTGAAAATATTGCAATATTCAGTGAGGATTCCAGGCTGACTCTGGACGTGGTGCCCAGCTGAAGGCCTGGCTTTGTTGACCAAGATGTGGAGCTGTTTCACTATTGTCTATTGTTTTAAGTGAAACAGTAGTGAATACTGAGTGATATTCAGTGTGGATTCCACCCTAACTGTCTTTGAATCTTGACCTGAAGCTACCCACCTGAAGCCCCAGCATTGTTGACCAGGATGTGGAGCTCCTTCTCCTCTCGCAGGACGCCCTCTACAAACGCCCTCACCGACGCCAGGGACGAGGTGTCCACCAGGCGCAGGTGCACGTTGGTGTTCCCGCTCCTCTTCCGGATCTCCTGCAGGGCGGCAGTACCGCGCGCCTCGTTCCGGCACGCCATGATAACACGAGCCCCCCGCCGGGCAAAGTCTAGGGCAATGAACTTCCCTATCCCTGGGGGGGTGGGAGAGGGGAGAAGGGGTAGAGGGGAGAGAAGAGGATGAGAGCGATATAGAGAGAGAAAGAACAAGAGGGAGATTGAGAGAAAGAGAGAGTGAAAGTGGTTGAGAGAGAAAGAGAGACAGAAAGACAGGGGAAGGGCAAAGTAGAGAGAGCAATGGAGAGTGAGAGGATTAGTGAAAAAGACACTCAGGAGGACAAAACAAAGTTCAAGAGCAGTTGCTTGAGCCGCAATCTAACAGGGAGCTGCTTGTACAGTATGTGTGAGTCTGTCTGTCTGTCTGTCTGTCTGTCTGTCTGTCTGTCTGTCTGTCACTCTGTCTGTCTGTCTGTCTGTCTGTCTGAAATGTGTGTTAGTGTGTCTATGTGTGTGCGTCTGTGTGCAAAAGGTCATGGCCATGGCAATGGCAGTCAAAAATAATTGTGTCAAACAGTAAATGGTCTACATCTAGCAACCCCTATATCCAGGTCACAAGTTTGAAGTTCCACAAGAAACACTATTTTCACGCCACTTTGATAGCGCTGAAATCAGAAGTTACTTATTCGTGGCAGGTTAGGAGAATGTACGCAGCAGGTTAGGAGAATTAGGTTAACGTTAGGAAAAAGGTTAGGGTTAGCAAAAAATGCTCTCCTAACCTGCTACAAAAATCACTTCTGGTCGTAGCTGTATTGAAGTGGCGTGAAAAGAGTGTGTCCCCAAGTTCTACAGGGTCAAGGTGTATTTGTTTGAGGTTTAGCATTGACCAGGCTATAACCTAGAGCTGTAAAATACAGAAGTTTCCTTCACATGAGACTGGGCATGTCTGAGCTCTGGCTAACTGACATGCACAGCTGGAAGTCATATTGGTCCAATTGTTTATGTCATTAGCATGAGTAGGAACCCTTTTCCATGAAATAACTTTTGTTTTCCCAGAGAAAAGTCAAGTGGATGATGGTTTCCCAGCTAGTGAGAGACACAGTCAAAAAGCTCCAAGCTCATCATTAAGCTTGAGGCCCTGGGTCTGAACCCCGCCCTGTGCAACTGGGTCCTGGACTTCCTGACGGGCCGCCCCCAGGTGGTGAAAGTAGGAAACAACACCTCCACTTCACTGATCCTCAACACTGGGGCACCACAAGGGTGCATGCTCAGCCCCCTCCTGTACTCCCTGTTCACCCATGACTGCGTGGCCAAGCACGCCTCCAACTCAATCATCAAGTTTGCAGACGACACAACAGTAGTAGGCTAGATTACCAACAATGACAAGACAGCCTACAGGGAGGAGGTGAGGGCTCTGGGAGTGTGATGCCAGGAAAATAACCTCTCACTCAACGTCAGCAAAACAAAGGAGATGATGATGGACTTCAGGAAACAGCAGAGGTAGCACCCCCTATCCACCTCGACAGGACCGCAGTGGGGAAGGTGGAAAGCTTCAAGTTCCTCAGTGTACACATCACTGACAAACTGAAATGGTCCACCCACACAGACAGTGTGGTGAAGAAGGCGCAACAGCGCCTCTTCACCTCAGGAGGCTGAAGAAATTTGGCTTGGCACCTAAAACCCTTACAAACTTTTACAGATGCACAACTGAGAGCATCCTGTCGGGCTGTATCACCGCCTGGTACGGCAACAGCACCGCCCGCAACCGCAGGGCTCTCCAGAGGGTGGTGCGGTCTGCCCAACGCATCACCGGGGGCAAACTACCAGCCCTCCAGGACACCTACAGTACCCGATGTCACAGGAAGTTCAAAAAGATCATCAAGGACAACAACCACCATCATCCCGCTATCATCCAGAAGGCGAGGTCAGTACAGGTGCATCAAAGCTGGGACCGAGAGATTGAAAAACAGCTTCTATCTCAAGGCCATCAGACTTCACTAGCACATTAGAGGATGCTACCTATATACATATATTAGAAATCACTGGCCACTTTAATAAATGGAACACTAGTCACTTTAATAATGTTTACATATCTTGCATTACTCATCTCATATGTATATACCGTATTCTATACTATTCTACAGTAATTCCATTGCTTTACTTAGATTTCTGTGTATTGTGTATATGCTGTGAAATTGTTAGATATTACTTGTTAGATATTACTGCACTGTCAGAGCTAGAAACACAAGCATTTCGCTACACCCGCGATAACATCTGCTAAACACGTGTATGTGACCAATAACATGTGGCCAGACAGGAGAACATCCCCCCTCCATTTACTCTCTCTCTCTCTCTCTCTCTCTCTCTCTCTCTCTCTCTCTCTCTCTCTCTCTCTCTCTCTCTCTCTCTCTCTCTCTCTCTCTCTGGAATTTGTTTTCTTTCTTCACTTATTTAAAGAGGGATTCCAAAAGCATATAATTAACTACATTCTGATGTCTATTTGAGACACTTTGAGGGTGAGAGGTTCAAGTGAGGGAAATGCATCATGATTGGAATGGAAAATATTAATTACTTAATTTGACACTTTAAAGGGAATGTTTACTGGAAGTCATCATTGGAGTCGTTTTGTTAGAATTACAGTGTGTATAAATTAAAACATGTCCTCTAAAGATTTCCCCTAAACTGCTGTGTGGAAAAACGTTTTCATTTTGAGAAGTAAGTATTGTCAAGAGTAAGTGTAGATTTGGTTGTATTTCCAGTTGGTTAACATGCTTGTCTGTGCAGTCTGCAGCTGCTGGAGGAATATTCTTATTGAATCTAATCGGATAAACCATTCCAAGCAAAACAAGTCAAGCAAGAATTTATCTAGATCCCATGACTAGCGGCCCCATGCAAAACCATTACCTGTGTTAGCTCCAGTAACTATGGCGGTCTTGCCCTTCAGTTGCACAAGACAGGCTCGGGGGTCCCAGGACCCTCTCTGCTGTGACCGCAAGAGGAGTCCCAAAATCACTGTCGATACTGCCCATAATGGGTGAGAGAAGACATCAGTCCAAACCCAAGACATTTAAAAGTCCACCTGCCCCAGTTAAGAACTAAAATGTATCTGGCTACAACTTTGCTGTTGTCAGATAGCCTTCACCGACTTGAATGAGATTTACGATCCAAAGCTCCGTTCTGAGGGCTATTTGCTGGGCTAAGTCCAGCGCTTGATAAAATTTCAAGGCTACAGGTTACATAATATAAATCTCCCTACACCGCTGGGTCTTAATGTCTGAGGAGTTTCAAAATGTTTCATTTGTTGAAAGTTATTTTATCCATCTGTAAATGTTATGTTTCTAGTTATTGCTGATCATAGGAATAAATGGTTGTGCTGTGTAAAGTCAGGCTACACTGCGCCACATATAAGGGGAACATAGCCATATGTTCCCGAGTGGCAGCGGTCTACGGCACTGCATCTCAGTGCTTGAGGCGTCACTACAGACCCCCTAGTTCCATTCCAGGCTGTATCACAACTGGCCGTGATTGGGAGTCCCATAGGGTGTAGGCTGTCATTGTAAATAAGAATTTGTTCTTAACTGACTTGCCTAGTTAAATAAAGGTAAAATAAAATATGGAACGATTTAAGTTAAATCCAATGAGATTGTTTCCCCCACAGCCAATCTTAGGCTAATGTAGGCTACTACAGAATTGATAAATGCACTCTTAGGCATATAGGCCTATAGAATAGGCGATGACTTAATGGTCCAGATTTTATCTTTCATCTCAGCTGTTCTTGTAGGTGATGCCAAAGAAAAATAAGGCATGAAGAATTCTTGAAAGATGGGACATACCAACTTTTTTCTCACAAATATATTTTTTTCTCACAAATATTTTTCTCAATATTAACACAATTTGAAATATATATGTTTACAGACCAAAGTACACTATATATACAAAAATATGTGGACATCCCTTCAAATTAGTTGATTTGTCTATTTCAGCCACACCCGTTGCTGACAGGTGTATAAAATCGAGTACACAGCCATGCAATCTACATAGACAAACATTGGCAGTATAATGGCCTTACTGAAGAGCTCAGTGACTTTCAACGTGGCCCTGGTCAGCTGTAAGTGCTGTCATAGTGGAAATGTCTCAGAGCAACAATGGCTTAGTTGCCAAGTGCAAAATCGTCTGTCCTCGGTTGCAACACTCACTACCGAGTTCCAAAGTGCCTCTGGAAGCAACATCAGCACACAAACTGTTCGTCGGGAGATTCATGAAATGGGTTTCCATGGCCCAGCAGCCACACACAAGCCTAAGATCACCATGCGCAATGCCAAGCGTTGGCTGGAGTGGTGTAAAGCTCGCCGCCATTGGACTGGAGCAGTGGAAATGTATTCTCTGGCACTTCACCATCTGGCAGTCCGACGGACGAATCTGGGTTTGGCGGACGCCAGGAGAACGCTACCTGCCCGAATGCTTAGTGCCAACTATGAAGTTCGGTGGAGGAGGAATAATGGTCTGGGGCTGTTTTTCATGGTTTGGTCTAGGCCCTTTAGTTCCAGGAAGTGGAATCTTAACGCTACAGCATACAACGATAATCTAGATGATTCTGTGCTTCCGACTTTGGGGCAACAGTTTTGGGAAGGCCCTTTCAAATCAAATAAAATGTTATTTGCCACATGCGCTGAATACAACAGGTGTAGACATTACCGTGAAATGCTTACTTACAGCCTTTAACCAACAATGCAATTATTTTTTAATAAAAAAGTAAAATAAAACAACAACAACAAAAAAGTGTTTGTCAGCAGAAGTCAAATAAAATAACAGTAGGGAGGCTATATACAGGGGGGTACCGGTGCAGAGTCAATGTGTGGGGGCACCGGCTAGTTGAGGTAGTTGAGGTAATATGTACATGTGGGTAGAGTTAAAGTGACTATGCATAAATAATTAACAGAGTAGCAGCAGCATAAAAAGATGGGGTGCGGGGGGGCAGTGCAAATAGTCCGGGTAGCCATGATTAGCTGTTCAGGAGTCTTATGGCTTGGGGGTAGAAGCTGTTGAGAAGCCTTTTGGACCTAGACTTGGCGCTCCAGTACCGCTTGCCGTGCGGTAGCAGAGAGAACTAGGGTGTCTTGGTGTGTTTGGACCATGATAGTTTGTTGGTGATGTGGACACCAAGGAACTTGAAGCTCTCAACCTGTTCCTGTTTCAGCATGACAATGGGTCTGTTTTTCATGGACGATTCTGTGCTTCCAACTTTGTGGCAACAGTTTGGGGAAGGCCCTTTCCTGTTTCAGCATATTTTTCAAAACATTGACAAAAAAGGTTTGCAATCAAGTACAGAGTTGACAGCCACTGATGGAGGTGACAATAATTTTTAACATTTCTTTGGCAATCCCTTGAAAATCGCATGCAGTTGTCAATGGATTTAGCGGAGCTGGGGGTCTCCTTGCCCCCCAGAAGGCAAATCGAATGTTCTGCACCTTACTGTGACGTTTATGGATAACAACCTATTCTATTTTATTATTCGGCCCATCATCATGTGCGCCAGTTTCTCATGGCTATTGATCTGAATTCTCGGGATATCTGCTCTAGGGATACACACACAAACATATTATTCACGAGTGTTTTGTTATTTGTTTTCCTTTCCAACCTTTTTTAACCTCAGTTTTCCTATTGATTGAATCATGGAGGGGGTGAGAGAGCTCTATGCCTGAATTGGTCTCTTACCTGGCATGGAAAATACTGGAGATGTCTAGCCTATTATTTGGAATACAATATCATTTCTACCATCAAGGAGTATGTTGATCCTTCAGTCATCTGTCACATTGAGAACATTAATTTTAAGGAAATGTAAACACATAATGTCATCAAATACACTCATATGTAGTAGACGTTTCACATTTCTCTGGATTAACATACTAATGCCATGGATGCCATTTCTGAATGAGGCCAAATCTAGCACAATCTATCATTTCAACAGCCTGATCCTGCCACTTTGTCAGGTAAGTTGAGGGATGCGGCCGGTTAACTGCAGACTCTCGAATTCATAGATGCAAGGAGGAATGACATTCCATAAGGAGGAATGACATTCCATGAGATTGACATGATCCCCACTGGGCACAGACGTAAATTCAAAGTCTATTCAACGTTGGTTCCACATCATTTCATTGAAATGACGTGGAAACAACGTTGATTCATCCAGTGTGTGCCCAGTGGGTCATCTCTAAAAGCTTGAATACATCATCATAGTTTTCTACAGCTCCTACTCCCACAGTGGCAGTGTAAACAAGGGTTAATGGGTGATGGAGTCTGCTAACTGCTATCCTCTGTTCTCAGTAATGGGACAAGTACTCAGTCTGCTTTTCTGTTGGTGCATTTCTCGGTTAATAAAAAAGTGGTCAGATGACACAGATGCTAAGCTACAGGACTGTTTTGCTAGCACAGACTGGAATATGTTCCGGGATTCTTCAGATAGCATTGAGGAGTACACCACATCAGTCACTGGCTTCATCAATAAGTGCATCGATGATGTCGTCCCCACAGTGACCGTACGTACATACCCCAACCAGAAGCCATGGATTACAGGAAACATCCGCACTGAGCTAAAGGGTAGAGCTGCCGCTTTCAAGGAGCGGGACTCTAACCCGGACGCTTATAAGAAATCCCGCTATGCCCTCCGACGAACCATCAAACAGGCAAAGAGTCAATACAGGACTAAGATTGAATCGTACTACACCGGCTCTGACGCTCGTCGGATGTGGCAGGGCTTGAAAACTATTACAGACTACAAAGGGAAGCACAGCCGCGAGCTTCCCAGTGACACAAGCCTACCAGACGAGCTAAACCACTTCTATGCTCGCTTCGAGGCAAGCAACACTGAAGCATGCATGAGAGCACCAGCTGTTCCGGATGACTATGTGATCACGCTCTCCGTAGCCGATGTGAGTAAGACTTTTAAGCAGGTCAACATTCACAAGGCTGCAGGGCCAGACGGATTACCAGGACGTGTACTCCGAGCATGTGCTGACCAACTGGCAAGTGTCTTCACTGACATTTTCAACATGTCCCTGACTGAGTCTGTAATACCAACATGTTTCAAGCAGACCACCATAGTCCCCGTGCCCAAGGACACTAAGATAACCTGCCTAAATGACTACCGACCCGTAGCACTGACGTCTGTAGCCATGAAGTGCTTTGAAAGGCTGGTCATGGCTCACATCAACACCATTATCCCAGAAACCCTAGACCCACTCCAATTTGCATACCGCCCCAACAGATCCACAGATGATGCAATCTCTATTGCACTCCACACTGCCCTTTCCCACCTGGACAAGAGGAACACCTACGTGAGAATGCTATTCATTGACTACAGCTCAGCATTCAACACCATAGTGCCCTCAAAGCTCATCACTAAGCTAAGGATCCTGGGACTAAACACCTCCCTCTGCAACTGGATCCTGGACTTCCTGACGGGCCGCCCCCAGGTGGTAAGGGTAGGTAACAACACATCTGCCACACTGATCCTCAACACGGGGGCCCCTCAGGGGTGCGTGCTCAGTCCCCTCCTGTACTCCCTGTTCACCCATGACTGTATGGCCAGGCACAACTCCAACACCATCATTAAGTTTGCCGACGACACAACAGTGGTAGGCCTGATCACCGACAACGATGAGACAGCCTATAGGGAGGAAGTCAGAGACCTGGCCGTGTGGTGCCAGGATAACAACCTCTCCCTCAACGTGACCAAGACAAAGGAGATGATTGTGGACTACAGGTAAAAAAAGAGGACTGAGCACGCCCCCATTCTCATCGACGGGCTGTAGTGGAACAGGTTGAGAGCTTCAAGTTCCTTGGTGTCCACATCACCAACGAACTATCATGGTCCAAACACACCAAGACAGTCGTGAAGAGGGCACGACAAAGCCTATTCCCCCTCAGGAGACTGAAAAGATTCGGCATGGGTCCTCAGATCCTCAAAAAATTATACAGCTGCACCATCGAGAGCATCCTGACTGGTTGCATCACCGCCTGGTATGGCAACTGCTTGGCCTCCGACCGCAAGGCACTACAGAGGGTAGTGCGTACGGCCCAGTACATCACTGGGGCCAAGCTTCCTGCCATCCAGGACCTCTATACCAGGCGGTGTCAGAGGAAGGCCCTCAAAATTGTCAAAGACTCCAGCCACCCTAGTCATAGACTGTTCTCTCTGCTAC